AATGAACATGGGGGGGGCGGGGGAGAGATAGCACAGCGGGTAGGACGTTTGCCTTGCACGCAACTGACCCGGGTTCGATTCCCAGCATTCCATATGATCCCCTGAGCACCGCCAGGAGTAACTCCTGAGGGCAGTGCAATGACGGGTGTGACCCAAAAAGAAAAAAAAAAGAAAGAAAGAAATGAACACACGGTTGAATCAGTACACAGTTCTCACAGACACACATGAGAAAACTCATATACAGTTAGCTTCACAGGGAGGGCCCGCCTTCGCGGCTGGCTGCTGAGTGGACAGCCTGCTGACTGTGGGCTTGTAGTGGGTGTATACCCACTACACCCAGAAGTGTCTGGGGCCATGTACGCCCACCCTGATCTCTCGGGAGGGCTTTCTGGCGCCAAGGCACTGACAGTAATGGTTCAAGTCTAGGAGGGGACACCAACAAGGGAGCCCTTGGGATGGGCAGAGACCAGGAGGAGATATTCCAGGAGGGGAATAGGCAAAGAAGCGGGGTCCCGCGGGGCTCTAAAGACTCCAACCCCCCTCCCAGCACCCCAGCCCGGGGAAACCGTGGTCCCAGCCCAGCCCCGAGGTCCACACCCCTCCGTGGGCGCTCCGCCAGGGGAAGGGGCTGCGCGGCTGGAGGGGCGGGGACAGCCGGGTGGGGGGCCTGTAGCAGCCGCCCCGCCGGTCCCCAGGTGCGGGACAGGAAGGAGGCCCGGGGGGAGGGGCTCCCGGAGTCCTGAGAGCCCCCCGCGCTGGCCTCCCCGGCGGTGAGTGGCCGGCCCGGCCCGCCCCGCGCGCGGAGCCCCCGGCTGGAGCGAGGTGCCAGGCGGGGGGTGCGGGGCCCGCGCGGGGTGGGCCGGGCGCAGGGGGCGGGGCGGGCGGGGGGCCGGGCGGGCGCGGGGCCGCCCCGGGCTGCGCCCCGAAGTGGGCCTGGCGGGGCGGGAGGGTCTGGAATGCCTCTCCCCGCCCTCCGCCCCGCCCGGCCTCGCACATCTGGGCCGCGCGCGGCCATCCGGCGGGGGGAGGGGGCGCGCGGGGCGGGCGCACGTCGAGGGCCGAGCGGTCGCGGGCGCCGAGGTGAGTGCCGGGCGGGGGGCCGCGCCGCGCGGGAGGGGGCGCTGTCGGGTGAGACCCCCCTCCCCACCAACACACCCTTCCCGGGGGGCGCCGGAGGTGGGGACACGTCTGCGAGTCCCTCTCCTCCCGGTGCAGCCGCCGCGGGTTTCGGGGAGGCAGTGGGGGGGTGGGGGGGTGGTCGCGATTGTACTTTCCCATCGGGACCCCCAGCGGCGATGCAGCGCGTGGGGGGTGCTGCAGAGACTCCTCTGCGAGAGGGAGGGGGGCTGGCGGGACTGCAGGAAGCCAGTGAGGGGGACACCCGGTGCCCACGCAGAGGTGGGGAATGGGGCGCGTGGAGTGGGTGTTGTGGGGACTCCTTTTAGGGGGTCCCCAGGGCCGGTAAAGCTGGAGAGCTGCGGGTGGGCTGGCCTGGTACCCAGGCACCTCCCGCTTCTTCTTCGCTGTGTGAGGCCAGCCTGGGGGTCCCGGGAGGGGTCTGGGCTTAATGAGGGGGAGGGTCGAATGGGTGTGAAGCCAGCTTGTGTGAGGGCCTGGGGGTGGGGGGCTCTTAAACGAGGTGGCCCCAGCCCAGAAAGTGAAGGAGTTGTGGGGTCCACTGGCTGCGAGGAGCAGGGCGCCCCACCGAGGTTGTTTATGCACCGGCCAGTCCAGGAGGAGGCCTGCAGGGTGGGGCAGGATGTATGGAGAGAAAATTAGAGGCAGGGAGGCCCAGGGCCCGTTTCTGGGACCCCCTGCCCAGCTCAGGAAGAAGCATTCCCCCTCCAGCCCCCTACACCCCATACACACACCTGCGAACCTTCGCAGACAGCCTGGGGCAACTCTTGGGGGTTTCCAAGGGAGCCTCCAGCCGGTGGCTGGGGAAAGTGGACAGCATTATCTTGTGGGGTGCCCAATGGAGAGGGGTGATGGGGGGAGGTGGAAGACCCACAAAATGGCCTGTGGGGAAGGGAAGGAGCAGATCTGGGTGGGCTCTTTGTCCTCATGCACAGAGGGAGGACAAGCTAGGTGGAGTCCCGAATCCCAGCAGCACCACTGGGTGCCAGGGCTAGGGTGTGGGGTCACTCGTCCGTCCCCAGCCAGGGAGCGCCACAGAGCTTTCTGTGTAGGACAGAAGTCCCCGGCTTTTGAGTCGGGGGTCCTGCTGGAGTGGGGGTATGGTTTCGTGTCCCCATTCCACCGCACCCTGTCTTGGTCCTTCCCGTCTCTGGGAACCATCAGGGCCGAGAGGCAAAGAGCAGAGGTTGATCCAAGGCCAAAGGCGAGTCAGACCACAGGGAGGGGAAAGGGTCCGCCTGGAGGTCAGGCCGGGGCCAGCGCTTAGCATGCGCTAGTGGCCAAGGAATGAAGTTACTTTCTGCCTAGGTCACACTGCCCCACCTAATCATCCACACACCCATGGCCACCAGCCGTCTGGGTTTGGGGGGAGTCTACCACCCCTCATTTCCAGCTGCTGACTGCACCAGGCACAGCTTTGGGAGGCTGAATTTGCCCTGGGCCGCCCCCCCCACACACACACACCCGTGATTAGCCTTTTTCTTCCATGTTTCTGGGGGAGGAGGTTTTACGCATGATTAGGGGGTTTCTCCAAGACAGACTGGGCGGGCTTGCATGTTTGTACAGCGGCCACTCTATCTCCATCTCTCAGAGAATCAGCAGGTCTCCCTCCCTCCCCAGAGAAGTCTGAATGATGAGAATTAAAGGGTCTGTTTGACCAAACACTTCCAGCAAGAGAAAAATTCAGGGGCGAGAGTGATAGCACAGCAGTAGGGCATCAGCCTTGCACACGGCCAACCCAGGTTCAATCCCTGGCATCCTGTAGGGCTCCCTGGACACTGGGCACTGCCAGGAGTGATCCCTGAGACCGAAGTAAGCCCTAAGCACCACTGGGTGTGGGCAGAGGGAGAAAGAGAGAGAGAGAGAGAGAGAGAGAGAGAGAGAGAGAGAGAGAGAGAGAGAGAGAATTCTGAATCTATCCCATGAATGGCGGGGGGGAATCTATTCTCGGGCTGGAGCGATAGCATGGTGGGTAGGGCATTTGCCTTGCATACACCGACCTGGGTTTGATTCCCAGCATCCCATATGGTCCCCTGAGCACCGCCAGGAGTGATTCCTGAGTGCAGAGCCAGGAGTAACCCCTGAGCATCGCCAGGTGTGACCCAAAAAGCAAAAAAAAAAAAAAAAAGTGTCTCTTGCACGCTGCCTTGGGACTGGGGGGAAATGGCACGGTTGCCTGAAGCAAAGTCTGCATGTGAGAGGCCCAGGTTCAGTTCTTGGTACCACATGGTCCCCTGAGCAGAGCTGGGAGTAGTTCCTGAGCACGATGGGTGTGGCCCAAACCAGAAACGAACAACACACTGCCTTTATCAACCACATCCTTCCCCAGATGTGATCCTCCCCGTGTGACCATTTAACAGGAAAGAGCACTGAGGCACAGAGTTGGCCTGATGTACTGCAACTCTAAGATCTCCCTGTTGGGACACTGGGTGTATCGCCCCCTTGGAGGCGGCAGTCACCAGGACACACTCCGGGCAGCTGGGAGATGACAGCCACATGGCTTGAACGTGGAATCCAGCTTAAGTGGCCACTCCTGGGTTTCTTCTTCCTGGTGGTTTTAGATCGTTTCTCCTCCCGATATGATAAAGCAAACTTGGTTCAGAAAACCCAGTCAAGTATTTCCCCAGCACTTAGCAAAGAATCTGGCACAAAGAATTGGGTTTTTTTTTTTCCAGAGGAATCCAAACAATGGATAAATAGGACCACCAGCTTTCCCTCGTGGTCTCGATCCCATGGCCTGCTGGTGTCGGCAGCCACTCTCCCGAAGGGAGAAACCCTCAAATGGGCGCTCTGGGGTGTCACTGTGCCCGCCATGCTGGCTTCAGGATGCCAGTGTGGAGCGCAGCATGGTGAAGCGACGTCCATGAGGTCGCTTATGCTTGCAAGCCAGTGGGAACCATCGCAGCGCCCCACCCCATCACCCAGCTGAACCCGTGCCCACCACCCCCTGCCCTCCAGCTGTTTTCCCTCTTTCTCGGCACAGCCAGATGCCATGCAAGTGTCCCCAGCCAGCCCCATCTTTCTAGACTCGGACAGGACGGCAAAATGGACTGTGTCTGGAGACCTCATGGGCACAGTCTTGGGAGTTTCCTGACGCTACTGGGTTTCAGCCTGTTGTGGGATTGGGCTGTGCAGGCATGCGTGAGCAAGGGTGTGTGTGTGGGTGTGGATGGGCCTGAGCGTCCACCTCGATGTCCACTGCTACTCTGCTCACACTACTCCCTGACTGGACCACTGGCCACAGAGAGCGAGTGGGCTCTGGGCAAACCCCACTTTTGTTGAGGGGCTTGTCAGGCCCACCCTGCGGATATTATCCTTGGGGTGGGATCAGGGCTTGAGGTACTAACAAGCCACCCAGGGCCCCTGGCTAGACGGGGGTGCCACCGTATCTCCTGCCTTCTGATCGAGGAGCTCAGGACAAACTCCTCCATCTGGAGGTCACAAGAAGGGCAAAACTCAGGGCTGGAGCGATAGCACAGCAGGTAGGGCGTTTGCCTTGCATGTGGCCGATCCGGGTTTGATTCCCAGCATCCCATATGGTCCTGAGCACTGCCAGGAGTAATTCCTGAGTGCATGAGCCAGGAGTAACCCCTGAGCATTGCCGGGTGTGACCCCCCCCAAAAAAAAAAGCAAACAAACAAACAAAAGATAGGGCAAAGCTCCCAGTGACTTGTGGGCTGCTGCCTCTGGCCTGGCCCCAGCGCCAGTGAACCCCATCTTGGAATGAAAAGCCTGTTTTCCTGTCCCTGAAGCTCTCCCTCCTCCCTCCCTCCAGCCACTGCCCACACACCAATTCCGTGTCCTGGTGACTTCTCAGATGCCAGCGCTATTCCTCCCCCTCGCTGACACTCCCCCAGGCAGGCCTGACTCCCAGCTCTGCCGTCACCACGATGCGGCTCTGGCCCACGAAAATGGGTCTAGCCAGGAGACCGGAAGAGAGCTCAGTGGTCAGGACTACATGCGGCACACACTGGGACCCTCGTAATACCTCAGTCCCCTAGCACAGTTAGGTGTGACCTTGGAACACCCCCCCCAATAAAAAACCACTGCCAGGGTGGCCCCGTGGTCCCTGGCACCTGGTCCCAAGCAGCACTGCATCCTCAGGCCCTTCCTCACATTGAGCCATCCATCCTCGTTGTCTGCGTTGAGTATCACGGGGATTCAGCCCCCAGGGATGGGAGTTTGGGCATACCTGGTGGTGCTCAGGGCTTACTTTTGACTCTGTGCTCAAGGGACACTCCTGGTGGTCTCAGGGGGGGCATCCAGGATGCCAAAGATCCAACCCGGGTCAACTGCATGAAGGGCAAGCGCCGTTCCCACTGTACTATCCCTCTGGTTCTTCAAACCTTTTAGTTTTGTTTTGGTTTGGGCTACACCCAAACCAAACCTGAGGTGCTCAGGGCTTACTATTTGGCTCTGCTTCCAGGGATCACTCCTAGCGGTCTCAGGGGACCATCCAGGGTGCCAGTGCCGGGGATCAACCAGGGTTGACCCCTCTTCAAACCTTTCGAGATGTGCTGTTGCCCTCCACGTAGAACCAGAACAGTCAGTAAGGACCTGCATGCCGGCTGAGCCCGGTCCAGGCCAGCCCCCTCCCTGCAGGCTTACGACCTGCTCCCTCTCTGTGCAGCTGGAATCCAGCTGTGACCTCCACAGCCTCTTCTGTCACCTCAGTTCACTTGTGTGATCACCCAGCAGAGCCCCTGGAGGCAAGGGCCAGTGTCTCTTGGGGTCACTGGTGTTCGCCAGCACCTGGCCCAGAACAGGCACCAGAGAACATTTCACAGCCTCCCGGTTCCGACACTTGAAGACATTTTTGAGGCACTCGGGAACAGGCCTCAAGAGAGATGAGGTGAAGGGACCGCTGCTGGTGTCAGTGGGGCGGTGTTGCGGCGAGGTTCTTTCGAAAGTAGCTGCTAGAGAGACAGATTGAAGAATTTATAAGCAAAACAACACAGAGCCTGGGAGGTGCTTCAAAGGACTCGAGCCAAAAGTAAATAAATAGAATAAATAAACATTCGGTGAGGAAGCGAAGGAGCCAATCAGTGCCATTCTGCCGGTCTGTTCCCTCCACAGCGACAGGGCCTGCAGCGATGCTGGCTGTCCCGGAGCTGAGCGTGCAGGGGCTACGCCTCGGTAAGACCCACACCCCCGCCCCCATGCTGCTCAGCCCGCACAGAGGGGAGCGTGTGTGTGAAGCCTGTGAGTGAGTGTGCTGCGGGTGAGAGAACGTGAGTGTGTGAGTGTGTGTGTGTGTGTGTGTGTGTGTGGGTGAGTGGATGTGAGTGTGTGTGGGGGGGTGAGTGAATGTGAGTGTGTGAGTGTGTGTGTGAGTGTGTGTGTGTGTGTGAGTGAGTGTGCTCCGGGTGAGAGAATGTGAGTGTGAGTGGGTGTGGGTGTGGGTGTGAGTGAGTGGATGTGAGTGTGTGAGTGGGTGTGTGGGTTGAGTGAATGTGAGTGTGTGAGTGTGTGTGTGAGTATTGTGGTATGTGAGTACATGAGCATGTGAATGTGTGAGTGTGTGTGTGGGTAAGGGAATGTGAATGTGTGAGTGTGTGTGTGGGTGAGTGAATGTGAGTGTGAGTGTGTGTGGGGGAGTGTGTCTGAGTATTGCGGTATGTGAGTACGTGAGCATGTGAGTGTGTCTGTGCAAGAGTGTGTGAGTGTAAAGAGTTGAGTGAGTGTGAGTAGGTGTGAGAGCATGTGGGTGTGAGCATGTGTGAGTGTGAGTGCATGAGCATATGTGTGTGAGAGCATTGTGAAAGTGTGGATGAGTGTGTGTGAGTTGCCTGAACGTGTGTATTTGTGTGTGTGCGAGTGTGTATGTGCGAGTTGTGTATATGTATGTGAATGTGTGTATGTGAATGGTGGGTGAGTGTGTGTGTGTGTGTGTGTGTGTGCCAGGACACAGGCAGGTCTGCTGGGAGCCCCCGTGTGTACGTGTGTGTGCGTGCCCAGGGCCCTGTGTGCGGCGGTGTGCGTGCCTGCCGGCCTGTGTTCTGCTGGGCTGGGCTCTGGGCTGGGCTCTGGGCGCTGCGGGGTGGGAGGCCGGCGGAGGAGGGGCGCCTCAGGAAGTCCATTCACAAAGACCTGGCGGGCTGGGCCCTTCCTTCCTGCCTCCCTTCCCAGGCTCACGCCGCGGCCACTTGGCTTCTCAAGCTGGAACAGGGGGCCGGGCCCAGGCCTGCACTGGCCATGGCAGAACAGGGCGACTGGGGCTGGGCCTCTCCGGGTCCGGCTTCTCATGCATGTTCCCAGGGCACCCCGAGGCCAGGGAGGATGGGGGCAGTCCTGTTCAGGGGGGCAGTCCAGCAGGGTCCTGGCCGGGCCTGAAGCCAAACGCATCAGTGATTGTGCTTGGCCTTCACGGGGGCCCCATTCAGCCTCCCATCCTGCACCAGGTGAAGCCCCAGGCTTTAGCCAAGCCCCCTACTGCATCCACAGTTACAGCCTCCTCTCCCCAGGGGCTCCAATAGCCGCAGGGTGCCCACGACCCTCAGAAGGTAGTGGACGCCCCTCAGCTCAGGGTTGGACTCAGCTAGGGCTCCCCCCACTGCTTGACCCTCCCCAGGCCACCAGCTGGGCCTGCCTGTGGCCCCTGTGGGGAGGGAAGGGGCCGCTCGCTCAGCTTCTAATTAATTAGAACCATGTGGCTGAACTTGGGGGGTGCGGGGGAGGGGTGCACCCCCAACCCACCCCACCTCCTCCTTCTCCTTCCCCAGACACCCTCACCCCATCTTTCTTGCCCATCTTTCTCAGGGCTACGTCCTTCCCCCTCCATGCTTCCCTCCCACTGGGATGGAAGGGGCCAGGGAGGGAAGAGTGAGTCCCCAGGTGCGGCCAGGCCTCACCCTAGAGGTCACCTCTAAGTGGTAACAGGCCTGCACACCACCTCCCTCTCCTCCCCTCCTGCCCCGCCCCTCCCACTCCCTCTTCCCCATCAGTGAGGCCCAGGGAGCCTTTCCCCGAATCGGGGAGGGGGGCCCTCTTCAAGCCCCCTATCCCCAGGGTGCCACAGTGGCTTATCCTGTTTTCACAGGCTCCAGCCCAGATCGCTCCCCCATCCCGAGCCCACCCGGCTCCCCTCGGACGCAGGAAAGCTGTGGCATTGCCCCCCTCACGCCTTCACAGTCTCCTGTGAGTAGGGCTGGGGTTGGGGGGGGGGGCGGTTCTGGGTGGCATGCAGGGGTGGGGAGAGGGAAGGAGCCTCCATAGGCCTCTGGCCTCTGCTTCCCAGAACCTTCAGCCTGAAGTCATGCTGAGCTGTAGGGGTGAAAGTTCTACTGAACGGAGGCCCAACAGCCCCCTTCAGGGATGGCTACTAGCCAGTGTTGGGCAGGTGTACTTTGGTGGCCAGGGCAGCAAGGGGGTGGGGAGTGGTGGTGGGGGGGGTGTGGTAGGTCACACCTGTAGTGGCACATGGAGGTCTGGGACCCCTGAGGTTTGGTACTGGGCTTTCTGCCTGTAGCTTCCGGTGGGGAGAGAGTGTTTCTGTCCTCAAATGGCACCCCCACCCCATTGCTAAAGCCCCTCTCTTGTTTTTTGTTTTTGTTTTACTTTTTTTTTTTTTTGCGTCATACTCAGCAATGCACAGGGGTTACTCCTGACTCTGCACTCAGGAATTACTCCTGGTGGTGCTCAGGGGACCATATGGGATGCTGGGAATCGAACGCGGGTTCGGCCACACGCAAGGCAAACGCCCTACCCTCTGTGCTATGGCTCCAACCCTCACAGCCCCTCTTTTGGCCCAGGCTTTTCTGAGAAGGAGACCTCAGGTTGCTCCAAAGTTGTTCGGAAACACTCAGCTGAGTCAGAGGGAGGACAGAACCTCCCCCACTTCCCTGGGTCACCCCACCAGGATGGCCTCATACCCATGACCCAGCTTTGTCCCCAGGGTTCCAGGCCTGGCCTAGAGGAGGCAGGAACCTCTCTGCCTGGGTCTCTCTTCTCAGCCCCTAAGGTGGACAGTGGGGCTGAAGGGGTAGTACAGTGGGCAGGACATTGGCCTTGCATGTGACCACCCAGGTTCGACCCTTAGCACCCCATATGGTCCCTTGAGCCCCACCAGGAGTGATCCCTGAGCACAGAGCCAGGAGCCACTCTGAGGTCCTCTGGGTGTGGCCCAAAAATCAAAAAGAAAAGTTGGGCAGAACTGCTCAGGTCCCTGGGACCTCAGAGTCGCCTGGACACAGGCCGGTGCGCTCCCGGGGCACCCAAGCACCAGGAACGCCAACTCAGCCTAGGCAGAGGGCAGGGGATGGGGGTGGGGACAGGAGCTTGAGCCCTAAACCACATGAGGCCACCTGCGGGTCTCCAGGGCTCAGCCTGGGAGCAAAGGAGGGCATCCAGGCCCGAACTCTGGGTTAGGCTGCTCTGGGCCCCAGCCAGGAAGTGGAAGGGCCTCGAGTGGTCAGTCTGGCCCTAGACACTGCCCCCTGACTCTGAGCCTTGCCCTTGCAGAAGCCCGAGACCCGATCCCCTCAGCCAGCCCCCTTCTCCGTGGTGGTGGCCATTGATTTCGGCACCACGTCCAGTGGCTATGCCTTCAGCTTTGCCAGTGATCCCGAGGCCATCCACATGATGAGGTAAGGACAGCCAGGCTGGGAATTTGGAGGGTGCACCTACTCTAGGGTGGGTCGTCCCAGAAATATGGTCACCTCACAGCTCCTTTCACCCCCAGTCTTGGGTTTTCTGTTGCAGGCCAGGTCCCCTGCCTTAATTGGAGTAGCTGCCTGAGAAATGGAATTTTTTTTCTGGGTTTTGTGTGGCTTAGTTCTTAGGGGTCACTCCTGTGGCACACCAGAGACCACCTGATGCCGGGGATCAAACCCAGGCCCGTTGCATGGGAAGCTTGAGCCTTAGCCCTCTGAACCGCACCCCTGGCCTCTGGGCTCGCGTTTTCATTTTTATTGAAAATGTAACAGAGAGGTTGGAGAGATGACTCAAAGGGTGCAGGAGCCCAGGCCTGAACCCATGGTCCACCGCATGGACCCATGAGCATTCCCTGATGAGGCCCCAAAACAAAAAAAAAAAAGAAATAGTAAAGTGTGGTGCGGGAGAGACAGTGCAGTGAGCAAGGTGCTTGCCTTGCATGCAACCTACCCAAGTTCAATCCCCAGCATCCCATATG